AGCACCCCCCTGAAATGATGGCAGATAGCAGAAGAAGCAGTAGCTTCTTTTTTTTTTTTTAGTATTCTGACAGTTGCAGTCATCAGAATTTTTTTTTAAAAAAGGCATAAGAATGCGCAGCTAGATTCCTATTGGCTATTTCACTTTGCAATAGCAAACTAGCTATTACACCCGCCCACTGCTGCTTTCAATCACCAGAAGAGGACCTGATAGAAAAATTCAGGTCCCCCTCTGCTGATTGACAGCAGCAGTGGGTGGGTGCATTAGCTAGTTTGCTATTGGCTATTGCAAAGTGCAATAGCCAATAGGAATCTAGCTATGCATTCATATGCCTTTTTTTTCTGACTGACGGTCGGGCCGCGGCTCCCAATGTCAGAAAAGAAAAAAAAAAACGATCACAGGGAAAGGTTTAATCTGCTCGATCAGATTAAACCTTTCTGGGAGGAAAGGTTTCTCTCCCGGGTGGCCGGGAGCCGCTATCTAATAGCGGGAGACTCCCGGAGCCTCCAGGAGAGTTGGGATGCCTGCTATACAGTGTTATCATCTGGTGTCATCCTCATGTGTTATGTAGTTTTAGAATGAAAATTGGGGAGCAGCATTAAAGAGAACCTGTCACCACCCAGTCATTCTTATAGAGAAAGCACAGCCGTATGAGAAGAATGTATTTAGGTACCTCTCATCTCCAATGATTGGTGTAAGGCTGGGCACACACCTTACAACCATCGCAAGAGTTTTGTCTTGCGATGGTTGTAAGGTACTTAAAAAAATGTACGATCTGCCTATGTTGCATAGGCAGATCGTACTTGCGATGATCGCAAGCCACACCCCCTGAGGGGCGGGCTTCCGATGAACGCAATGCCGAACGGGCAGTGTGCGCTTGCGCACACTGGCCCGTCCGGCTTTTATGTTACAAACATGCTACACACCCGCCGAACATCGTACGATGCTCGGCGGGTTTTCAAACATGTTCGTAAGTTTAAAGTCGTGCGACCTTACAGTAGTAGAGGTCGCACGGCTTCCACACACCTTACGATAATCGTACGATCGCGGGATTTCCCACGATTATCGTAAGGTGTGTGGGGACCTTATGGAAGAGTCCGCCAACTCTCCGCTCTGACGCCCTTTGAGGGGATCTAAACACCGAGGACTGGAGGCATTACAGCAGTCACATGATCAGGAGCACGTCCCACCGGATCCCCATCATAAACAGGGATCGGGAGCTATTGGTGACAGCTCGGTCACTGTGCTGGGACAGTTTTAAAAGTGTCTGTAAAATTTGATATCCTTTAGGGCCCATTCACTCCAGATCTGTTGTGCTAACGTAAGGGCACCGAAAAATGAATGGGACCAGTTCACACCACTGCAATCCGTTCCACTGCAGTGCGATGAAATAAAAGTAGAGCATGCTCTACTTTTTTTTTCAGCGCAACACAATGTAACAAAAATGGATGTAATCGCATGGAAATGGAAGTAAATAAAATACATACATGTTTGTCCACTCAGAACATAATAATTAAAATAACGATTGGCGAAAAAGAGAGAGAAAAAAACCGGAACAGAAGGGTGGTTGAAACTGCAAGTAAACGGATCCTCAGTTGACTGGCGATTTCCTCCTGATTTCCGTCTGATTTTGGTGTCAATGGGCTCTTCAGCAAAAATGGTTATTCCACCAGTACATGTCCACCCCAGCAAAGTGGACAGTTGTTGACGGTGTTGCAGGAAGTGGGTGTTTTAGGTGGTGGAAGGTAGTTTGGCACGGTGGAAAGCACTTCTACAGCATACCCACAGTAGGTGCAGTAACATTCACACATAGACCCCAATACCACCATCCTTCTCGGAGTGGCCTCTGTCATGAATAGAGTCCCACTGACCCTGCCACCATGTCCATAGGTATACAGAGCCCACCTCCTCTCCAGGCAGCCAGTGATGACAAGCAGCATGCATGATTCAAGATGTCATATCTCCGGCGTGTTAGAAATCAAAGAGATATGACATCTTGAATCATGCATGCTGCTTGCCATCACTGGCTGCCTGGAGCCGGAGCCGGAAATGTAATCCTCCCATAGGAAGGTATAGGGTGTTGCACTCAATTAAACGCAGCACCTGTCCCTCCCGGGATCGGTCTGCAGGGGCATGCATGCCCATGTAAATGAGCCCAGGGGTGAGAATAAAATGCATAGGAAATATAGGAGAGTTGATGTTTATAGTCTTTCCATCAAAAGCCAAGCACCCAAATGCATCACAATGGATTTTGAGCAATAAGAATTAATATAGCAGGAAATCAATGGCCAGGGGGTGGCCTAAATATTGCAGTAACTTAAGTACATTGTGTCCAGAATCATGGACCAGTAAATATGCCATTTTGAAAAGTTCCCTCAGTCTGAATGACCCATTTGGCACAGCGCACTTTACCAGTTGTTTGAAAGGGAACGTTTCAGAGGCTAGAACGGCACCAATCATTTCCACTTAACATCCATGTGGACAATTGTGCCCTTGTTAGGTAGAGTGACCAGATCATATCTTTAACCAAGGAATCGGTTCTGGGGCTGGCTGGTCTTCTTGATAAGACAATTAGCAAAAAAATAAATCTTGTTTTATCAAATTGTAACATTTGTGGTGTCCTTTTTCAATCGTTTACATTTTTTCATTGTAATGAGCCTGTGTTGAATGAGTCTTCACTGACAATGTGCGGGGTAATTAATCATTTTTCATAGAGCATTGATATTGAAACAAAAAAGTCAAAGCATTTTATGACCATATAAATAAAAAAGAATGATCCTTACAATCCTCAGTGGTCAATCCCCAGCCTATGTGTAATAAACCCTTAATGGCCAGTTCCCTGCTTATCTGCATTAACCCTCTCAGCGACCATTCCCCAGCCTATGTGCATTAACTTCTCAGTGGCAAGTCCCCAGCCTATGCATATTATTCTCTCAGTAGCAAGTCCCCAGCCTATGCACATTGATCCTCACTGGTCAAGCCCCAGCCTATACGCATTGACCCCTCAGTGACCAGTCCCCAGCATATGTGCGTTAACTTCTCAGTGGCAAGTACACAGCCTTTGCACATTATTCTCTCAGTGGCTAGTTCCCAAGCTGTGCACATTGATCCTTCAGTAGCCAAGCCCCAGCCTATGTGCATTGACCCCTCAGTAGCCAAGCCCCTGCCTATACGCATTGACCCCTCAGTGACCAGTCCCCAGCCTATGTGCATTAACTTCTCAGTGGCAAGTACACAGCCTTTGCACATTATTCTCTCAGTGGCTAGTTCCCAAGCTGTGCACATTGATCCCTCAGTAGCCAAGCGCCAGCCTATTTGCACTGACCCCTCAGTAGCCAAGCCCAAGCCTATGCGCATTGACCCCTTAGTGGCCAGTCCCCAGCCTATGTGCATTAAACCCTCAGTAGCCATTTTCCAGCCTATTTGCATTAAACTCTCTGTGGCAAGTCCCCAGCCTATGCATATTAACCCTTCAGTGGCCAGGCCCCAGCCTATGTGCAATTATCCCTCACTGGCAAGGGCTTAGCTTATGTGAATTGACCCCTTACTGGCCAGGCCCCAGGCTATGTGCATAAAACCCTCAGTGGCCATTTTCCAGCCTATGTGCATTAACCTCTCTGTGGCAAGTCCCCAACCTATGTGTATTTACCCCTCAGTGATGAGGCCCCAGCCTATGTGCATTTATCCCTCATTGGAAAGGCCCCAGCTTATGTGAATTTACCCCTCACTGGCCAGGCCCCAGGCTATGTGCGTAAAACCCTCAGTAGCCATTCCCCAGCCTATGCACATTAACCTCTCCCTTGTCAACTCATAGTCTATGCAAATAAATACCCCAGTGGTAATTCACACCAGCATAAGTGCAATTCTTGACTAGAGCTTTAATGTTCCTCCAGATTCTGCCTTTGGACAGTTTATGAATGAGCTGCTTCTGCATCATGGGCCACATTTCTCTAATACATATATATTGTATATATATTATACAGATACTTCATTATTACCACTTTCATATACAGGCGCAACATAAATACATAAAAGCACCACATTTAGAATTTCATCTAGATTTTTCTAGAACACTGGTTAGGTGTCTACTGTACAGAACATGGAATATTAGGTGATGTTTACATTTTTTCAAAACAAAAGAATCAAACATCATGTTCATTTCTGAAGGGCTTTCTGTGCATGTTATCATCATATAGATCTGTAACTTGTTATCTTGTATGAATGCTTCCATAGCCATACTACACACGATTCATATTCTTTCTCAGTTTTTCAGTCATTGAAAATCAATTTGTGCTAAAGACACATCACATGGACTGTCTTTATTTTCAGTCGCTGATACATCTGCAGCTTTCAAAGACTCAGGATCAGGAGCACATGGACTTGGCACTGTGTTGCTGCTGTTATTGCGTGCAATAGGTGATATCACGTCAGCTGGCTGATCTGATGGCACTGGAGCAGACGATGACACTGGGCCAGGTAAAGATAAGCTTGTCATGTGAAATATGTTTCCCAGGCGACAGCAGATCTATGACGAACAAAACAGAGTCATATCAATAATAGTAATAGTCATGATGTCAAAGACATTGGCCTGGTACATGGTGACGCCATTATATTCATAAGGCATTTCTCTTATTTCTGCACTTACTCATGCTGTTTCAGTGTCATTAACTATAATAACAGAGATCTCATCATGCAGTTTGCACACAGTTTCATATGCATTCAGTTGCACCAACACGCACAGGTGTGAATCTTGCTTAGAGCCCAACTCCAGAATCACTTTTTATGATTTAGATAGGTCCTCCACCCCCTCTCTTCACGCTCCAGGGCCGCCCCATGTGTTCTTCTCTTTGGTCCAGTGATAGGCCTCTTCTGGGTGGAATGACACCCAGTGTCATTGAACTAACATTCTGTGAGCACAGGGTGTTTGGGACTTGCCCCCCCGTAGGTGCGACATCAAGCCACCCTGGAGAAGGCTGCATTTAGTGGAGCCACTCTTTTCAGCAGGACTGAGCAGTGAAGGAAAGCAGGTAAGGAGGAGGGGGTAAGCTGGATATGGACTTATAATATAATATAATTTAAACATATGGCAATATTTTATATATTATCTCCATGTGTCTAGTAATAGCCAATAAAAGCCCATTTACACCAGTCTGTTGCAGTGTGTTAATGCGCATGCATTATGGCGCACCTTAACATGAACCCCTAAACAATGGGCAAAAGATGACTCCTGCAGTATTTTCACTAGTGCATTGCACCATAACGCATGGTAGTTTGTTAGGCAGGTGTGCTGGGGTCTGATTCACAATGAATGGCACCACAGTACAGCAATGCATGTAAAGAGTGTTACTGTGGGCTGTGGTAATGTATGCATTACTGCAATGGGGTGGTTTCAATGGACCCTTAAAGAAGAACTCCAGGATTTTTTCAATTAACCCTTGCAGTGGGGCTACCCCTGCACTGCAAGGGTTAAGTGCTCATTTGCGTCTCGGTGCTAAAATATCAAAGATATACTCACCCAAAGCTCCGAGCCGGCCAACTGTCACAGCTCTATCTCCAGCCTGTCTTCCCCTCCCTGCAGCATTGTAATCTTCCTCAGCGTCCTCACGTCTATACACTGTGTATAGATGTTGATGATTTACGGAACCTTAGACCACTGCAGAGGAGGGGGAGACACATTGGAAGGACCAGTCTAAGAAGGAGCCGTCTTGGAGCATTGGGTGAATATATCTTTCACTGCAAGGGTTAATAAAAAAAAATTCCAGAAGTTCTTCTTTAAAGGGGAACTTCACTGCCCCCTCTGTTCCCTCCCTCTTACTTTTTTTTGCTGGGTTATCTCCAAAAATCATACTCGTGCCTAGTGATCCAGCGGTGTTCTGTAGGAAATCTGATGCCCCACTGCTTTACACCAGGTCACATGCTGCCATCTTTCCTGACATCACCAGGAACCGGCTGCTTCTTCCAGGCTGTGCGCATGATTCACGGATGTTGCAAGAGCCAGGAAGACACAGCCGGCCCTGCGATGATGCGCAACGGAGCATGTGCAGTGGAGTCTCCCGAGGCCTCCTAGGATAAGTGATGAAGGTATCCCAAGATGCTGCGGGTAATCAAATATGTCATTCTTGTGTAGGTGAGAACCCAGGAAGTGCGGGGAGGATTTCCCCAAAAAAGTAACAAAAAAAACAAATTAAAAAGGTGGATGGTAAGAAAGATGGGGTGAGCTGATAGAAAGTGGGTGGGGAGGGTGAAGTTCCACTTTAATGTTTGCTGATTACATATAAATAACAGACTCTGCTATGGGATGGCACTTACTGTGCTTTCATACATGTGTCTGATCTCTTTCAGCACTAGTACCAGTAGTTTTTCAGTTCTAGTTTCAGGAGACAGTTTCTGAACTATATAAAGATGTTCACTACAAGCTCCATAAGCGCTTAGTATACTTCCTGTAAGAATTATACCGTAATACAATTTAGGTCACAAAAATAATATCCTCATATAATGTCTGGTGTAATGGATGTTAAAAGCAATATAGGACTTTCCAGAGATATTTTATAAATAGCATTTTGCCTAACAGTGATTATGTAATGCTAACCAGAACAATCCTCATCTGAAGTATACTGTATATGTTTCTGTCTGTCAGAACCGCATGACATGGGAAAGTAATATGCCACAAAATGTGGTTGTGGATGGGAGGGAGTCATAAGAAAACTCAAATGTTCTGTTGGCTATGCTTTGATCAGTTCAGACTCAGAAGATGAAAGCTAATTCTTACTTACTGCACTTCACTGGGTCACTGGGTCTATTCTCAGGTTCTGAACTGTAGGAAGCAGTGATATATCTGCTGATATAGGAGCTCACTTGTCTGCTATATGGTCTAAGGCCAAATGGATCAGTAGTTGCTTTGAATTATGGAAAGCCTTAGGGATTTACAAAGGTTATGCTAGGGGGTGATTTACAAACTGTTCGCATAGCGATCAGCTATGCAAACAAGATTCCCATTGCACATTATGGCCACTAGATGAAGCAGCGGAACATAGAAAATTCCTATGCTCCTTGGCTCCACCTAGTGGCCATAATGTACTGTGAATTGGAGGATAATGTCACTTTTGAGATAAAGGTAGGAGTTCAGTTTCAGGGGGCAAGTTAGTTAGAAGGAGGTTAGGAGTTAAAAGATTAGGTTAACTGTTAAATTTAGAGTTCAGGCTAAATATTACGATCAGGCTAAATGTTAAATGTTTAGATATTGGTTAATACTTTCACCCGCATGTATACCTGATGATTTGCGGGGAGAAGGAGACAGTTTTCTGATTATGGCTGGTGGCATTACAGCAAAGACACTATACAACCTACTGAACTCTAGTAAATGTTATGTGTGCGGAGTTGGGCTTTAAGAGGAGAAGTATTATATTAGGGGGTCAGGCTAAAGAGACCACCCGTGTACATTGACAGTGCCTCCTGATAGCCCACCCCCCAGTAATGTATACACACCCATCCATACACTCTTCCATGCCTTTTTTTCACTTACCCAGAGCGAATGGGGCAGATTTTCAATGGAAAGTGCACTCAATCATAGCAGCCAATCAGATTATTAGTTCATTCAAAAAAAAAAGAAGATTGACTGGCTTCTATGGAAAAATGCTTCACTTTTATTGCTGTCCCAGGTTGATTGGTTTCTCCAAGTGATCACATCTTTACTGGTCTGGTATAATACTAAGACTCGCTAGTAACTCACTATCTTATTAGTTGAGTTAATAGAAAATATGCAGAAACTGTGGCAAACTAGTTGTTCTGTAGTTTAAACAGTGCAGCTAAACACTGGGTGGGTAGATATTTCCAGTCATTTCTGTGGAAAGCTGTGATTCATTTATATGGCACAGAGGTTTAGGGATGTGGAAGATGTAGCCAGAGAAAAAACAGCTCATTGCAAGACTGACAGGGACATGACTATATAAAGTGCATAACAGACAGAAAACTGAGATATGATCATATAAAGCAAAGGCAAGAAAGTGGCGGCTTTCCTGTTCATGTGTTCGGTTCATCATCCATTGTTTAGGTAGTAATTAACAATAAAATGTTATGTCATGGATGCACAGAGGTGGTGAAAATATATGTAAACCCTAATAATCAACTTTTCTTATGACAAACAATGAGCTCTTCACTTTATGCTTCTCTTTTAGTGTCCATTCACAGGCTTGTGGGTCTATGATGGTTTGGGCTCAGAGGAAGTGGATTAAAGGATGCTGGCTGGGTAATGAGGACATGTAGTGGCAGAGAAAAGTACTCTGGAGGACAGCTCCTTATTGAAGTAGAGTATTGCAACAGAAGCTGCTTTTTTTCTTCTATTTTCTATTTTAATGGGTTATTCATTTCTTTATTATTTTTGTCTGGAGCGCTGCTTAACAATTTATTTTAAGACAATCTCAATAGTATTGATGATAATAATAATAATAATAATACTACAAATAATAATAATACACTTATATACAAAATACCTTTATTATAGTTAGAGCAGCCCTGCTTTAACACCTCAGATTATAATCATCTGATCAGTTTCATAAGGTAGTAGACAATATTCACATGCCATAATAGCATCTAGATAGCTTGGAGCCAAACCAAATTGGAATGTGTGTGATTTTGACTTTAACTGTGCGCTCCATAATTACCGGTACTTACAGCTTTTAATAACATTTACCTGGGAGCGAATTTTTAGAGCAGGTCCAAGCTTCAGCCCCATTGTATCCAAGAGATGGTCCTCAGTGAGAAGTGGTAAAGTTACTCCATCAATGTCGTGATCTTTGAAAACCTAAACAAGAGTGGAAAGAAATAGTAAGGTTTACACAAGACCATGAAATGTGAGTTCTATGCAAGTGTGGACTGTGACTCACTCATAATTATTCCATACTAAAATCCAGGAAACAGAGCTACAATAATCACATAGAACTGTCTTCGCCTAACTTCTTCATTGAAATGTTTCCAATTTCCAGAATGCTAGAATAAGTAAAAGAGGAGTGGATGTATTTTATACAGCTGGCAAAAGAGGGAGAACCACTGGAAATCTTGAAGTCAACAGGAATTAAATTGGTAACAGCTGAAAGAGAACTATAAACTCCCTGCAGATCCTCCAACAGTACTGATTTTTTTTTTCTGGATAGCTCTGGTCTCATGTTATTATGCAATGATAATGGTGCAAGTGACATCAATGCTGGGGCTGTCTCTAAGTGGGTGGCATGGAGGCTGGAGGTTCTGAACGTTATGGAGGGGACTCTATGAAGGCATTACCTTATGGTGGAAGGACTGTAGATGGGTTGCAGTATCTAATGGTGAAGGGACTCTATAAGGACATACTCTATGATGACAGCACATTATGGTGGATGGATTGTATTGGAGGGTCTCTATGGACACAGAGCGGCAGCCACGTATATGGAGGAACAAAGCCCCTCTAAACCTCATACAGTTTCACTGTTTGGGGAGGGGCGGCATGTGTACTTTCGTTATTCTGGAAATTGTTGAGTGTATGCTTGATGACTTTAAATCTTTTCAAACATATGCTATAGGAGGTATGTCGAACTCAAATGAAACAACTGGCTGAATTGAGTAGATTTATTCTTCAAGAGGTTGCATTTTGTCTACAGAGGACTTCACCTACTTCATCCAGAGAAAAGATTATAGCACTTTGGTACTTAACATTAAAGAATCAATTGCAACTTTCCCATCACAGAAAAAAAGGGGATTTAAGTGCAGAGCTGCAAAATAACCTAAGGAAATGTGGCTTTTATCAGCTGGAGTATAGCTGGGGCCTCGGTCATTTTACGTTCTTAAAACCACTGAGTGCCGCAAAGAGCAAGTGGAACAAAAAAAAACACCAGTCTGACGTGTCTGCTCTATATTATTTTAGTGTTCAGGTTTTTCCACCCAAAATGAATAAACTAACATGGAGCCTTTCTATAGATACCCTACATACACTAATGCAGTGTGGGCTACACTTATAACAAGTGGCGTAACCAGAGTTATGGGCGCCCGGGGCAGACATTTTTTTTTCGCCCCCCCCC